ACTTTTAAGGGCTTTAGCACTTTTAGCACTTTTAGTATTTATAGAATTTTTATACTTTTAAATTTTTAGTATTTGTAGTATTTTCACTTTTTAATTTCTAGTATTTTAACTTTTTAGTATTTCTAGTATTTTTAGTATTTTACTATTTTTCCTTTTGATAGTTTTATAACAATTTATGGTACTAAAAGTAAAAATACTATCAATTTTTAATATAGTGAAGTATTTTTAGTTTTTTTATGTAGTTTTTCAATTTGTTTACTAGATTGATTTTTGAACAAATGAATGAAAATTTTTTTTTTGAATTTAGTAATTTTTATCAGTGAAAAATTGATAACAGTGAATTTTGCATTTTTTAAATCAAATAAATATTTTATAAAATTTGCAATTAAATAGAAAAAATTAGTGCGAGATAAAAATCTCGTTATGCATTCGAAAGCAATTTGCGCGCTCGCAACTACTACTGCTTTTCTTTTAAATAAAATTGATGTAAATCAACATAATTAGAGTCCTCTTCAAAGACCATATATGATGAATCATGTTCCCTATTTTTAAATTCACGTCTAAAAGCCTCTTATCTCCATCGATTATATCTTTAAGATTACGTTCTTCATTAGGAAGTAGAAGTGAATTGAAACTAAAATTCAAACATTCCCTTTTCTTTCTATCCTTTTATTTCTCCCACAAAGGATCAAAATTAGTGATACCAAGGTAGTGTCGAAATTATTACCAAAAAATGCTAATTTTTAAATTTTGTTAGTAGGTATAATATAATTTTAACAATTTTTTTGAAATTTTATTGTTAATTTGAAAGAAATTTTTTTTTACAACTAAAAGGAATAAATATTTAAGATTCTTTTTGAAACGATTTGTTAATTTAGAATAAAGCTTCAGAAATAGATATGGTTAAGAAACTATTGGAGCAGAAACCATTTAAATAAAGTGTATATTCGAGATCTCATAAATTTGCATTTACAAGACTACCTCTTGGATCGCAGTTATGATAAAGGTTGGTTCAGCGGGGATATAAGGAAAGTATTCATATAAAAAAAAAGTAGTGAGAGAGAGAGTAGTAGTAGTAGTGGTATCATGAAAGTTACTTTCAATATTATCTTATCTTTTCTAATAGCTCCAGGCTTTAGTACTCGCAGGAGAATTTGTCGTTCTAGTGTCAGGAAACAATTTAATATATCAGTTAATGATTCAATTGATAAAATTAATAGCTTTTAATATGGGTTCTTAATTTTCCATTTTTTCACATTGTTAATATTTAAGAATTATCTTTTATTTTTAGTATTTAGTAATATGTTTATAATATATTTATATTTAGTAATAGTATTTCTAAATAATAATAGTAATTTTTAATTGTAAAATAATTCTCCTAATTTTGAAACTATTTAATTAAAATTTCAGTGGTACCAGTTAAATACAAATTTATGAAACAAATCTCTATGTGGTACCAATTAGTCACTATTTCTATGGACCAAATAGAATTACTAATTTTTAAAACATAAAATTACAATTTTATTGGTATTAATTAGAATTTTTACGATACCAACTGGTACCACTAATTTCGCAACATATTACAATGTTAGTGGTGTCATGTCAGTGAATAAAACTAGTGGTACCACTTTTGATATCATGTAATTAGAAAATCTTGTTCGTACTAAAATACTACAAACACTGAATTTAAAGGTACAAGAAAATTTAAAATAAGAATTTGGTACCGATTACGCTGAGGCAGTAAAATTGCAATAGTATAAAATGGTACCACTAGTTTTGGTTACAATTACTCCATAATTTCAATGGTACCAAGTGATACCACTAGATTTGTTACAATTACTTTAAAATTCCAATGGTACCAAGTGTTACCACTACAAAAATTTTAATGGTACCAAGTGGTACTTACTTACTTTCGGCATAATTGCAATGGTACCACATGGTACCACTAGTTTTGTTAAAATTACTCCATAATTTCAATGGTACCAAGTGATACCACTAGAATTGTTACAATTACTTTAAAATTCCAATGGTACCAAGTGTTACCACTACAAAAATTTTAATGGTACTTACTTACTTTCGGCATAATTGCAATGGTACCAAATGGTACCACTAGTTTTGGTTACAATTACTCCATAATTTCAATGGTACCAAGTGATACCACTAGATTTGTTACAATTACTTTAAAATTCCAATGGTACCAAGTGTTACCACTACAAAAATTTTAATGGTACCAAGTGGTACCTACTTACTTTCGGCATAATTTCAATGGTACCACATGGTACCACTAGTTTTGTTACAATTACTCCATAATTTCAATGGTACCAAGTGATACCACTTGAATTGTTACAATTACAGTCGAACCTGGATAAGCGAGAGTTCAAAGGACCAGCAATTTTCTCTCGCTTATAGAGGTTTCTCGCTTATCCAGTTTCTTAACTACAGAAGTCTAACTCACGGGACCAGCAAATAACTCTCGCTTATAGAGGTTTCTCGCTTATCAAGTTCTCTCTTATCCAGGTTCGACTGTACTTTAAAATTCCAATGGTACCAAGTGTGACCACTACAAAAATTTTAATAATACCAAGTGATATCATTACTTTTGGCACCATTGCAATGGTACCACTTGTTACAATTACTTTCAAATTTTAATGGTACCAAGTGCTACCACTACAAAAATTTTAATGGTACCAAGTGGTATCAATACTTTTGGCACCATCCCAAAATTCTCAACGGTCCTAAGTGGTACCACCGATTTGAATAAACTCTAAGACTAAAAAAATGTCAGCTTCACCAAAATCATTGAGAAAAAAAATTTACAAAACAAAGTTAAAAACATTTTCTTAAATTAAGAAAACATTTATTTCACATAAATAAATTTATAAAAATCTTCCCATAGAATAAAAACATTCCAAAATTGATGCCATGTATTTTTTCTAATATCAATATCGAAATAGGATTTATTGGTGAAAGAAATGATATAAAATCAAAAAAAATAAATAAATAATAACATTACGAGGAAAGAATCTTTTTATTTGTAATTCCCCAAAAAAAGGAAGAATTTTAAACGGAATTAAAAAAATGAATGAAAAGAATTAAAAGAATATGAGAATTGTAACCAGACACTTGAAGATTTGATGGCTTTTGTGAGAGGATAAAAAAATAGTTTACTTAATTTTCCAGATAGCCTGCATACCAAGAAAATTACTGGCATAAGAACCCTAAAACTCATGTAACACGCCTGGATGCATCTCAATTAAAATAATTACACTGCCCATATCCATTGGCCTTTGGCGAATATATCAACCGGTTTTATTTTACGATCTAACTAAAGTCCATTTCATAAATTCTGTCGCTCGACTTTCACATTTTACAAAAATTACACAAATTTCAATATATATATATGTATATATACGTATATATTCGAGAATTATTATCTTTACTTGAGAATGCACGCTTCTAATGTCTGATTCAAAACAATATTCTAACAAGAAAACAACTTTATTTTCTAAAAGAATTTTTGTAAAAGAATCTCTTCTAATTGTATTTAATTTTACAAGTAGAAAATAAATCTAATTTTTAAAAAATGCCATATTTTTTCACTAATATTTATTTCATGAGAAATGCATTATTTATTATTGTAAATGTTCAGTTTTAATTAATTTTCCTTGTAGAAGAAATATTGGAGAAATTGGAGAAACGGATAGAAAAAAAGTGAAGAAATGTACGCAATGAAGTGAAGAATATTTATCGTTTTTAATCGAATGGTTCATTTCTTAAGAGAATTATTACATGATCGGTTGATGAGAAAATTTGCGATAGACCTAAATAATGACGAATATAAAATACAAATAACGGTTTTTTTAGACCAGATGGAAATATTCGCTTGCAATATGTCGCTTCTTTTAATCTAGCATTGTCATTCAGAAAAAAAAGAGAAAAGAAAAAATGCGAGTCACTTCCCGGAACTTATTTTTCTCATATTGTATAACAATTTACATAATTAAATTTTTGTACCTAATAAAATAAATAATTAATGTATTAAATTACATATTAGTAATTTCGATTTGTTTTTAATAATTTTTTTTTAAATTTAGTAGAATTTTTTTTTGTATTTATTTTTACAGAAATTTTTTTAATTTTAGTTGAGCTTTTTCTATTATTATTTGATTTTGGTAATTATTGTCTATTCTATTGTATTTCTATTTTATTATTTTGTTTTATTTAAATTAAACAGAAAAAAGCAAAACAAAAAGAAAATATTAAAGAAAACATTTTTCAGCTAAACTTCCAAGTGGTACCACTAATTTTGGAAACATTAAATTAAATTTTTATTGTTGCAATTAAATACATTTTTTTAAAATCAATTGCCAAGTGGTATCACTAATTTGTAAATTAATAAATATTGAACCAGAATTTTAGTGGTTCCGACAAAAAAAATGGTTGTGGAACCAGTTGTTACCAATTAATTACAATTTTTATGGTACCAAACGATACCACTAATTTGGAAAAAATTGCGGTACCAATTAGTCTCAATTTTCACTGTACCAAATTGTCTATATATTTTGAAACTATTAAAATATTTTTTTAGTGGTACCAATTAATAATAAATCCTATGATACCAAGTGGTACAATGATTTGTCAGTCATATTTAAAAGTTTTAGTGGTACAAGTTGGTACTACTAGTTTTGGTACCAAATATTACCCACTAATTACGATTCCCTTGGTACTTATTATCGACAGGCACCACTAATTTTGGGTACCAATAAACATAATTGTAATAATTAATTATTATTTGTATGGTACCAAGTGGTACCACGTAAAAAATTAAATAAAAATGTTACTGGTAACAATTAGATACAATTTTCCTTTGAGCGGAAAAATCAAAACCCAAAGCAAAGATTAAAAAATCATTCGTCAACTAAATGTCAAAAAATAATAATAATTTTTAGATTTAAAAATATTTTTATTTTCCACAAATTTTTTTTTTTTTGAAAACTCACCATATAGATCATCAAACGTAGCAACTTCCGCACACCTAGCATCCTGGATGTTCCAGCCTCTCACGCTGAAACAGCTTTCCTAAAATAGAAATAAAATACTGAATAATAATAATAATAATAATAATAATAATAAGCAAATCAAGTCTGGTGAATGAATTTTTTTTTGCGATTAGTCAAAGCCGGATCTATTTTAATTCATTCAACCAACCTCATGGTCTAACGAGTAAATTAGCCAAGCTCACTTCACTACAAAAAGGACGCGGTTCAAATCGTAAGGAGGTCTTGAGTACAGAAAAAAAAATATATACCTATATATAAAATTGATTCACCCAGTGAATCTCGAATCTAGAATTAAAGTAAGCATGACGTCGTGAAAACTAAGGAGAAATTGACTGTAGCCAATTATAGATTTGAAAAAATGATTTGTCATTTTATGCTTATTTGTCTATTTCAAAGTGTATGAATTGTCTTTTTTTCAAAAATCAATTTTTTCTACTAATGATTTTTTTATATCTTAAAGACACCACACCCATGTAGAAATATTTAAACAGTTTATTGGCTACTCTTCAATATTGTAAACGGTATTTTATTAAGGATTTTGGGGTCATTGAATTCTAATTTAATATCAGATTTGAAAAATTTTAAATGGCGGATCCAATATGGCGATCAAAAAATTTTTTTTGATTAAGATATTTGTCTAAAAATTTTTTTTTTATTATTTAAAAAATGTACAATTAGTACAAATTAGTAAAGAAAAAAATTTTTTAACAATGATTAAATAACTGATAAATAATAAAACGAGTTTATTAATTAATTAATTCGTTAAAACATTATATTAATAAATAATGAGTTATAGAATAAAATCGAATTTTTTTTTATCGATTTTATATCGAATATAATAAACATAATGTTATAATATATATTAATAATTATAATACAATATTAAATAAGTACAATAATAATTACAAATCAGTAAATAATTATAGTTAACAAATAATAAATAATAATTGATAAATAAAACAAGTTCATTAATTCATTATTAATAAATAAGGAGTTATAAAATAAAATCGAAAGTTTCTTATCGAGAACGAGTCCATGAGTATAGGAATTTCTGGAATGCAGTGTGAAAAAAGAATTGAAAAAAATTATGTATTACTTATTTTTGACATTGTATATTAAAAGTTGTTTACATGATTGTTCCTTTAGAGATATATGTACAGTTAATAATTTTTATTTTTTTGTTCTTTTTTAATAATTTATGTGAGAGCGAGTGCGATAATCATAAAGCATATAATAGATGCAATATGATGAAAAAAAAATATAGATGAATGACGAGTTCTCATCGAAAGAACCTGACTGGACAACTTTTGATTATTATCAAACACGACTATTCAATCTTTTTTGAGTCTCAATCTCATTTCATCTGTTATATGATCTCTATACAACTCCCACATAAATCATATTTTTTATCTATTGACATTATTCTTTTAATTTACCCCTGTTTTGTTTATTGAAAAAAAAAATTTGTCTACAAATTTCTCAAGAAAAAAAAATACTTATTTCTATTAATTATATTGTATCGAGTTAAATTATTATTAAATATTTAATAGTAGAAAAAATTTACGAATTTATAAAATTATTTGACTTCTTTAACACATTTTTTAATTTTAAGAACACTAAAACTCATTAAATCACCAGTATTATTTTAGATTTGAGACCAGTTTTACTCTTATCTTTCAAATGACTCGAGATTCATAAAATTAAGTAATAAAATTCGATTAATTACCTTCACACTGAGAATAATTTGAGATAATGAAAGAGATAAACCTTAACTTAAGAGCATAATCAAGACTGTTTTCGATGCTAATTTTAAAAAAGATTTTGACAAAATCGTTGAAAGTGATAATGAAAATTTTTATTTTCGTTTAAAAGCTATTTAATAAAATAGGACCATTAAATAGATGAAAATATTTTTTTTTTGCTTGAATACTTTTTGCAAATACTTTTGGTCAAAAATCTGATAAATTTTTATACTTTTTTTGTGTACTATGATAACAATAATAATAAAACAAGTAAAACTAAAAAATGAAAATAAAATTAATAATAAGAATAATAATTATTATTATCCTTACTTCCTGCTATAATTAATTATTTTGACTAATTATTCTATCTGTTCATTTGTATAAAATTTTTGAATAATATGCGATTGGGGATAATATCTTTCTTATAAAATAAAAGAGAATGTTTCACACGAAGAAATAATCGAGAGGCGGGTTTAAAGCGGAAGAAAGGTGCGCTTATTAGACCATTGAATCAACTTAATTAATGTGCCATCGTACGTGTCTGATAATCATTTCCTTTCGTATGTGTCATGGGAATTGTTGCTATACTTTCGATATGTATCAATATATTATTTTAAAAAAATCAAAGAAATAATATTTACACAATTTTCTATTGCAAAAAAAAAAAAAAAAAAAATTGAAAATATTATGTAGACATCATCAATTAACAGTAGAAGCAATTGTGTTGCAAACAGTAAAGTAATATTAATTGTTACCATTAATATAGTACCATTTTAATTTCAATGGTACCATTATTGATACCACCGGTTTTGTTTCAGTAAATTGCGATATAAGTGGTACCAATTATGACTGCAGGTTGCTATTCAATTTTAATTTTTATGGTACCAAGTGGTACCATTACATTTTAATTTTTATGGTACCAAGTGGTACCATTATATTTTAATTTTTATGGTACCAAGTGGTACCATTACATTTTCATTTTGATGCTACTAAGTAGTACCATGATAATTTTAATGGCACCAGAAAAGAAGAAAAATTTTGGTATGATTAAATTTACATAGTAGCTATAAAAAAATCTGGTTTTAGTTCCAGGTACCATAATATTAAAAATAATGGTACCAGTACCTAGGAACAAGACTGGTACCAAAGAATTTATTATTAAACTTAATGGTATCAATATCACTAGTTATAATCATAATGGTACCAAGTGGTAGCACTAACTTTAGAACCATTAAAATAACATTTTACTGGTACCAATTACATACAATTTTTATGGCAACAATGGGTACTAATAAGAAACCAATTTTATCGTATCCAGTGGTACCATTCAATTGTAAACTAGTAAATTATTATCTTAGTGGTACCAGTAACTTACGTTTCTATGTTACCCACTGGTAACATAAATTTGGGTACCAACTAATACCATAGTTAAAATTAAATAAATATGTGGTGGTACTAGTTAATGATAATTTTCATAGAACGTTACTGTTGTAATATGGTACCAAGTGGAACCAATAGTTTTGCTGCAATTAAATTTCAATTTAAGTGGTACCAAACATTCCGACAGTTTTAGTACCATTAAATTTCAGCGGTACCAAATTGTTACCACCGGTTACTATTACAATATTACAATACAGTTGTAATGGTTCCAAATAGTACCAGAAAATGAGGATATTATTGGTAGCAAGTATTATCTCCAGTATCTTTCCACTAAATTACAATTTCTATGGTACAATCCGTCACCACAAGGTATGGTACAATTTAAGTGGTACCAAATATTCCGTCAGTTTTGGTACCATTAAATTTCAGTGGTACCAATTTGTTACCACCAGTTACTATTATATTAAAGTTTGAATGGTACCAGAAAATCAGATTTTTTTGGTACCCAGTATTATCTCCTGTTTTTTTCCACTAAATTACAATTTTTATGGTAACATCATTCACTACAGGTAATGGTACAATTCAATTGGTACCAAATATTCTGACACCTTTGGTACCATTAAATTTCAGTGGTACCAATTTGTTACCACCAGTTACCATTATATTAAAATTGTAATGGTACCAAATGGTACCAGAAAACGAGAATTTTATTGTTACCAAATATTATCTCCAGTTTCTTTCCACTAAAATACAATTTCTATGGTACCATCCGTCGCCACAAGTTTCAGTACCATTGAATTAATATCCAAATGGTACCAACTGATTTTGTAACAAAAAAATCACAGTCATGTTACTAAAAAAAAATACAAAGATGAAAGGCGAGAATCCCACATGAAGAGTGAATGCGCGCGAGATGTATACAAACACGGTTATAACAGATGCTGTGAAAAGGCGTGGGTTACGTTCAGAAGTTATCGAATCGTAACGTGTTAAAGCCGCAGGAGCCGGCTCAATCCTGATTTCAAGCTTGTTCGCGGCTCGTTAAGTCGACTCTGTTTTTACCGCATTGAATGCATCATTGCTCAGCCATTTGCAATGACATTGATCCTCAGCTCCTGGAGCACGTGTGTACTATATACCGAGGCACTGATTTCCGAGGAGTCGTTTAAAAAAAATCAAAAAGAGAGAATCTCATAAAAATGTATATCGAGATCGATGCATTTCTATTTTACCTCGAGTGCAAATTTTTCAAACAATATTGAGTGAATGTTGCACGGTTATATTCGCAAAATATTGTCAAAGCATTGCAAATAATTTATGTTTCTAAAATCTTGTCCTTTGTTTCATATTTTCAAATAAATGACGATATTTCTATTACTACTTTTAATTTTTATTTTACTAACACAGTTTTTCTAAAGATATACCAAATTGAGGCGAAAAACGTATCAAAACGTATCAAAACGTTGCAAAACGTTGGTACCTACGTTTTTCGTCTCAATTTAATAATCCTTAGAAAAACTTCGAAAAAAATGTTTTGTATATTAACAAAATTAATAGATAGCTATAGTTAATATTTGGTACCACTGAAATTCTTACTTTATGGTACCATTTGGTACCATTACAACTGTAATCTAATGGTAACCGATGGTAACAATTTGCTACCACTGAAATTTAATGGTACCAAAGCTGTCGAAATATTTGGTGCCACTTAAATTGTAATTCAATTGCAACAAAACTATTGGTACCACTTTAATTAATATTCAAGTGGTATCAATAATATTTAAAGGTAAATTAAAATTGTTGAGATGGATGGTACCATAGAAATTGTAATTTAATAGTACCAAATCGGAGTTAATATTTGGTACCATTTGGTACCACTGAAATTTAAATTTTATGG